ACACTTTGTCTCATGACAATGACCACAATTTACCACAATGCAACATCTCCCCTCCTTCTTCCTCCCGATAGTTACTTCTTCCCTGTGTCCATCCCTCCATGCACTCCTGCCCCCTGAGCTGTCTCCCCGTGCATAAGCAGCCCTTCTTTCTCCCATGCTTGTTCTCTTCAAGGAGTGTATTCACCTCAGGTAAATGTTCAATTCATATGCCTGTCTAGTATTTGGCTGGAAGCCACAGGTGTGCGTTCAATTCCAGACCTGAAGGGCAGCTAGGGGCCATAGTCTCAGAGGTTCCACCAGGCTCTATTGGGCCAGCAAACCTGGTCCCTCCATGTTTTTTTTTTTTTTTCTAAGTGACTTTGAGTTTTGTTCCACATTGTTCTCCCTCTCTATCAAGGATCTCCTACATAGATCCTCTTCCAAGTGGTTGACAGTAGTAGCCGGGCACCATCTAGTTCTTCTGGTCTCATAGTCATATAGGCTGCAGATAGGATGGTATACCAGTTGCTAGGACTAATTGTTTCCATGAATTTTTGGTTTTCTTCATTCTTCTTGGCTCTGGACGAGGAGAGACCCATCACTGCATCTAGATGGCAGCTTGCCAGCTTTTAAGATCCCAGTCACTACTCACCACAGTAGGAGGTGGAACAATGTTTTGTGTACTATGTTATGCCAATTGAGCTTGATGTCCTCTGCGACTATGGTCCTGAGCCCACAGGTTCAACTACTTGGTCCCTCTGGGTAGCTGTCTGTGACCAAGTAGTGACTCCAACCTTGCCCCTTGTCAGCTCCATTATACACCTGGGAATTCAGATCATACACATAAAATTATAGGACCACTGTCTGCCAACCCTATACATGTCTTGGGTGCACTTCCCATTTCATAGACATACCTAATATTTCAGCCTGTCCACCCATCTATCCACCCATATACTCATGTTTTCCTTCACTGACCACACCGTACTATATGTGCAAAAGGGTTCATCTTTGTTGTCTGCACTTCCCATGTACCTCTCTATGTCTTTCTCTTCCTCAATGCCACTATATTGATTACTCACATCTGGTACATTGCCCTTCTCTTTACCCAAATCAAAACTTCTATCTATATAACAGTATTCCTTCCCCTCCCCTCCCATCCCTGGTAACCAACAAAGAAAATATCCTTCCATAGATAAGCGTTTCCTTGACTTTTACAATAATTACTAATACAGTATTTGTCCTTTTGTGATTGACTTATTTCACTCAGCATAATGTCCTCCAAGTTCATCCACGTTATGTGGTGTTTTGCAGATTCTACATTATTGTTTA